TATTTCAAACCTAAGTTGAAAATAAACCTAGTTAGGATGAAAACCCTACCTCTTGAAGCATAAAACAAGTTGTAGAACCTTTAAGAACACCAACCAAGATCAACCCCTTTGATTTCTCCAAAATCTCATCTCGAAAACTTCGGTGAAATCCTTTCTTTTAAGTACGTATGCATAGCCCTTGTCAAGTAAATCAACTTTAATTCTTGGCTTGGAGGATTCCAACCAATGGAACTCCGTAGATTGTTGAGAGAAGTTGGTATTTTTCTCTTTTTCCCTCTCTTCCTCTCTCCAATGAAACCCAGCAAAATGTGTGAGGAGAAAATTTGATTTTCCCCCCTTTTTATACCCTTTAGGTGCTTGGTCCACATCACGCCACACGTTCCTCATTCCCGAGTCCGATTTTATCCTGAAACGATTAAATTTCGTCTCGATTTAAGTTCAAAATATTTTTATATGAATTTTCTTTAAATTATTTTCTAATTTTTGAAATTTAATTCTATGTCTCATTTTTGGGTCACGCCACCCCCGATCATCTCGTAAAATATAAAAAATTTGATTGTCTCAAAATTTGATGAAAATTATCTAGGTAACTAGATTTTGTGAGACGAATCTAATAGTAAGGTCCATTTCATCATCCGAGTTCTAGAAAAATTTAATTTTTCAACTAGTACCATAGTGGCAAGTCATCGTTTTGCCATTTTTTATAAAAAAAAAATCAAATTTACTCGATTTTATAGCACCAACCTATGCTCCTTTCTAAAAATGCGATATATCAGATTAGTGCTCAACTCAATGGGTTCAATAAGTGCTAGTTGATCCCAACATTCAGTCATAACTGAATAGAATTCTTTTATGTTTTTGTCCCACTGACAAACATCTTGAATCTCATGCTCTAGTTGATACCTCTTTGCAAAATTAGACTGGAGAAAGATTGTGGTCAAATAATCCCAAATTTTCTTGGTTGTGCTAAACTTGGCTAGATGAACCCCAATAGTTTGATTAACTGAATTATTGATCTAGATAATAATTTTTGCATTGTTGATATCCCAAGTGCTTTTTAAATCAGTGTACTTTTCTACATTAGTATCAATTGGAGTCTATGCAGCGCCACTAATATAATTCCACATGTCTTTTCCCAACAAATTTTCTTCCATAACATAAGCCCAGTAAACATAATTTTCACTTGTTAATCTCACACTAATGACTTGACATGAATCAAAATTTCCACTTGTCATGGGTCAAAAAAGGAGCTCTAACAATTAGCAAAAGGAAAATGCCATTTGGACCTAATTTGAAGACTTAATCTAGAGACCTATTGATGTACAATCATTGGATTGGTTGTGGCCTCCATCTAACCTTTGAATTCAAACCTAATCCAATGGTTACATTGAAGTCACATCATTAGGTCCCCAAATTAGGTCCTCAAATAAGGTCCCTATAACATTGCTCTTAGCAAAATACACTCAAACAAATCCCAACAACAACCCAAAGTCAGAGAGTCAAACCAGCAAAACCCAAAGAAAAATACACTGAAAAGTTAGAGAGCCAGCAACCCATAAATCCAACCAAGCCAGCAACAAAACAACAATAACCCAAGCCAAAATTAAGCCACAGATATGAGAATCAGACAAATTAGGAAGAAATAGCTACAAAGGATCAACCCAACAGCAAGGAAGAACAGCCAAAGCTACCGAACAGAGTGCTAAACCCAAGATCAATCCTATATTTAAACCAAATCAACTCCAAATGCTTCAAAAAGTGTTAAAGGATCATTCACAGGTCTAAATAGACCCCTATAAATTGAATGTTGACCCTTAGATTCAAAGAAATCTCCCAAAAATTCAAATCGAAGAATTTCGACAAAAATTCTTAAAAAATCTTTCAAAAATCAAAAGTCTTACCAGATGGCCTTGAAATCCAAAACCAAGCGTACCATTGACAATCCCATTCAAAATCAAGTGGATAGGTCATCTTTCTTGATCCAAATTGTTGATGTCATCTCGTCCAATGATGATGTCATCAAGTTTGACGATGATGTCAGCCCTAAGGCTTTGTTAGAAATTTTTTCTTGTTGAGTTCTATAATGCTTTAACTGCGTTTAGGCCTTGTGTTTAGAGATTGTAACGTGCTCTGATACCATGATAGAATAGATCAACAAATATAAGAATTGAGATAGTAGAAAAGAGAAAGAGAAAAATATTATTAAACTAAATGAGTTTGTTATTCTAATTAACCTAGAATTACACAAAATAAGTCTATATAGCAGGGCAACACAATATAAAGCAAATGCCTAAACAACCCTTAGTATTAATACTCTAACAATAATAACTATAAGGGACAGCTCAAGTGGTAACATGGACAAAGGGTAAATCCAGACGTTCTGAGTTCGAATCTTGATAACCCATTGGGGCCAAACCAAAGAGGGGATTAGTAGAGGCGGGCGTAAGTTGATTCGGACCCCCTGACCGCTAAATAAAAAAAACATAAGATAGTAGAGGTAATAAATATAAGAATGAAATAATTGTTGATATTTTAATTAACATCCTTCATTAAGAGAATTTTTATCAAGCGTTATTTTTAGGGAGAATTACACTTAGACCTCCTGAAATTTGTCACTTAATAACTCAAACCCTTGATATTTAAAATATTACGTACAAACCCTCTAAGGTTTGAATGTGAGTAACATTTGGACCCCTACCGTCAAATGTCCATTAGTATACCGTTAGTAAATTATACCCAAGTCCCTTGAAATTTGTAAGTGCATAATACTTAGATCCTTTAAGTTTAAAATATTATATTTATGACAAAAATACTTTAATTAAATATATAATATTAAATATTTTAAATTTTATAACAAAAATGCATGTTTTATTATATTATTTATTGAAATAAAATTAAAAATAAAAAGTCAATTTATTCTTAAAAAATCTTAATTAGTATACAATTATAGTTTTTAGTATTGTACAAAACACGATATGTATCATATGATACATCGCGATACAGAGGTAAAACGATACGAATTGGAGTTTTGTATTATTTTTACGTAGTATCGTCTGATATGCGATATGTTTTTATAATACGATATGTATCGACTGATACGAACGATACACGAAGTCTCTGTTTTTTTTTTTTTTTTGGGATTAGAACGTAGAGTAAATCAACAAAAACAAAGATGAAGAGAATAATTACTAATCCACCAAACCCACAAATTAGCAAAAATACTCAAGCAAAAGCAAAACAAACAAAATTTGAAATTGAAAAAAATAACATCACTAACTTGTAAATTTCAAATGAAATCCTAGGTTGGTTTCTCTTTAGATTTTAGAAAACACTTGTTCTTCTTCCTCGCAGAGATCCATTGCAAAAAACCCTAGAAAACACTCTGGCTCACGATCGCTCTATCTCACAATCCCTCTGTCTCGTGATCTTTCTTTCTTGTAATCTTTCTCTCTTTGTCTCTCGATTGTTCTCATGATCGCTCTCTCTCTCTACCTCTCGACAGCTTTCGCGATCTTTCTCTCTCTCTCGTCTTTTTTTTTTCTGATCAGGCACCTCTCGTCATTGTGTTTTAAAATAGAGAGAATTATATTTAGACCCTTTAAGATTTGTTACTTAATCACTTAAACCCCCTAACATTTAAAATATTACACACAGACCCCCTAAAATTTATATATTCGTTAATAAATTACATCTAGACACCCTAAAATTTGTAAACATATATTTTATTATTAACTATTTAAAATTGCACTGTATCGTACGATACACAATACACGATACGATACGATATGATACACTATTTCTAAAAAATAATACACCTTCTGATACACGATTTGATAACTATGTATACAATTATACTATTTATTAGAATAAAACTAAAAAAATCAAACAAAAGGTCTAAATTATTCATAATAGCAAAATTTATGTTCTATTATATCATTTATTAAAATAAAATCAAAAATAAAATTTTAATTTTTTCTTAAAAAATTATAATTAATATACAATTATACTATCTATTGGAATAAAAATAAAAAAATCAAATAAGGGGTCAAATTATAATGAACACAATATATTCTAGCTTTAATTATGATAATTTTGTCATTTAAACAACTAAATTAAATTTTAATAGATAATATAATAGTATACTAATTATGATTTTTTTAACAAAAATAGATTTTTAATTTTAATTTTATTTCAATAAATTTCATAATGTAACATGAATTTTGGCTTGAAAATTTAAAATATTTGATATTATATTTTTGTTTAATGTATTTTTTGTCTAAATATAACATTTTAAACTTGAGATATCTAAGTATTACACACATACAAACTTTAGAGAGTCTGAATGTAATTTATTAATGAATATACTAACGACAGGAATCTAAATGTTATGCCCGTACAAACCTCAAACAAATTGTGTGCAATATTTTAAATATCAGGAGTTTGAATGATTAAGTGACAAACTTCAGAAGATCTGAGTAAAATTCCCTCATATTTTTATGGATTTTTGACTTTAACAGTATTTATGTTAGACCTTAAGTCTAAAAAGTTTCCAAAGACTTGCGACATGTTTTTCCCTTTTTTCTGATTAGTCATTTTTTATGTTTAGGCACGGGGAATTACCGATAGATATATATGATATTTCTTCTGTTTCTAAATATTTGTCGTTTTATACATTTTTTTTGTTCCATAATATCTGTCGTTTAATAAAATCAAAGTATAATTAATATTTTTTCTTCTGAATTTACCCTTAACTTTTCAATGCATTAGATTTGGTGGAGGTTAAGTGTCTTTCATATTTTTTTCCTTCCTAATACATATTGAATAATAGTATTTTAGTCTTGTGTAATTATTTTTTACTTATATTAAAATTATTTAACAACTTTTTTAATTCTTGTGTAAAAATTTTAAATGCCGGATATTTAGTAACCCAGGGACTATAAGAAAAAAGGTAAAGCTATGATTATCCTAGTTTGAACTTTAGAAAAAATCTCCTCTTTGATATGACAAAGTACCTGAATTGTCACGAGGGGCCATGCAGAATCCTGGCTAGAAACGGAAAGAGAAAGCAATGGTTGAGAATTGAATTGCGGGCGTACTTGGCTGTATGTCACTGGGCTAACGAGGATAAGGTACCACTGATTTGGATTAGATAGCAATCCCAGTGATACTGACGGTTATCTCTGCAAAGTACTTCCACAGTTCCATTAATGGAAGTACCACTCCAAACAGACGCTATCTCTTCTACTGAATCTCCAATTATCTGGGCATCACGTTTCACTTGTCTTCTTTAACGGTACATACCCTCCATTGCTTCTTCACATATTGGATTGCTATGTCTGTCTTTAAAATATATGTAGTGTTTGCTTAGTAGAGTTCTTTTGTAATGATAATGGAGGTGTTTGTAAAAATGCCCGACTGCGCATTGCGGTAATGTTTTGAAGTGCTTGCGTAAATTAAACTTTTGTTTTGTGTGCAACTCCAATGTGATGTTCTATTGCTATCATGTATGGTTGATGAATTCCAAATACTTCTCCATTTGAAAATTCAGGCTTTTCAGCAGATGCATCGTCAGTTGAGAGTTCTCTTTTAAGATTCAACCTCTATGGTTTTTCATGTTGGCCAATTCGCAACATCGTAGGGGTTGTTTGGATTGTAGCCCGAACAATATTGTATGTGTTCTCCTAAATCTTAGGATGAATTAGTGATGGGTGTAAGGGAGGGTTAGCTGCCCCAAAAAAATTAAAAGGATTGGGAAAACCCTGTAATACTTCTAGTTATGAAGACTCACAAACTGTTAAAGCTCGCCCCATATACTTGTTCAAAAATTTAAAGGCCATCCGCTGGGCTAAATTACTTGATCTGTTGCTGACCAGGAAGCACAGATACAGACACAGATACAAGATATGGGTACGATACGATACGAATATGACCAAAATATATCTATAATAAAATATAATTTATATTTTACTATTATTTAACAATTTAAAATTACTACCCAGCCCCTAAATTGATTGTGTTTGAAATACTTCAAGTTGTGCTTAACTTGTGAGACTTTCTTCTTCTTTTTTTCCACCTTTGTGAACTAAGACTGTTATTGAACAAGTGGTTAGAGTTGGAGTTAAAGTTCATAATGAATCTTGAAACAGTGGATGCTTCTAATATAAGGCATATTACATTTCACAGTTTCATCAGTGTTGCTTATCTAATCAAAACGAATTATCCCATAGCAAATTTACTTCCAAGCTTGGGTGTAGCTTCATTTGATAGTAATACTATGGCAACTTTTCTCCATTTGCTCTAACTGTTGAACCTTTTTTAATGGGAAAAGGGAACGTAAATGGTTTCTGGTGCATGCTACTAATTTATTTGTGAAATTTGATAGTTTTATGGGTTAATTTTTTAGAGAACATTCAACCAATTTTTTTAAAAAAAAAGTAAAACTCAAATTGGTTTCAATTTGTGTAATTAAGAACAAGAAGGGAAAATATTTCAAATTGACAATTTTTTTGTGTTACATAGTGCCTTCAATTACAGGCATTAGCCAAGATTTTATATTTTAGTATTATTTAATAATTTAAAAATTATAATTTTTAGTAATTCTTTAACAATAGTAAATAAAATTTGCAATTTTTACTTTGAAAAAGATGTAATATTGTCTTATTATGATATATCTATAAAGTGAACGTGATCAATTAAAGAAATTAAAAATAACATTTAACTAGTTAGTTTGCTTACACTTTAAAGTATTTGTTTCTATGGTTATAGTACAAGTAACTCAAATAGTAGATATTAATTAAAAATCACTCGTGTCTTCAAAGTCAAATTTAATTTTGTTGATGTTTTATATTGTATGTAAAATCTAAAGGAAAATGTATAGATTAAAATTAAAAATTGTATATCTTACTCCATGTGTCGAAATATCCACATATTTTATTAGTTATGTTGTATCCGATACGTATTCTTGAGTATTCAAAGAGTATCGTGTCCGTAACGGTATCCAATACAGTACATGGATCTTGACAAAGTATCCGTACTAGGTGGCTGACATTAATCATAGATATCGGAGGTTTGCACTTGCATGTAAGACTTTGTCAGCTATAGCTAATGCCTAATCAAAATTGGTTTCATTTACCCAACAAACCATTCGGGTTTTATTCAGGTGCTACACCTGACCAGAAAAGAAATTCGGGTTTTGTAAACATCCTTGTGATTTTATTTTTGAAAGCAGGCATATTTTATCGGAGCATCGCAATTGTAGCATGTTTTCAGGCTTGAAATTCCTCTTTATTAACCATAATATGCCACTAATTGATTTTGTGTTTTCACTCCTTGGGAAATTAGAGGAAAAGATGTAGTAAAATCATCGTTAAAATAATGTATTGATCAGAAATTCTGGAGGGAAGTTGACAATCCTTGCTGCATTCACTGCCAGGGTATGTCTTTTCCATTAGGCCAACGTTACGATTTGTGCCACCTGAAACATTTGCTTTGAACGTCGAACTATTTGACCGAGACACAATTTAGTTGTTCAATAGTCTGTTTCCACTCCATATGTTCAGAATTCAGACTGTTGTTTTGTCTGTAGTATTTAACTATGTCATTGCTTAACCATAAGAAGTAGAGGTCTGTCAGCAGATACTCTCTTCACCAGGATCGAGCAGTTAGTTCAAAGAGTTGTGTTAATTGTTAGATCACAAGACCAGTAGTATTACATTTATTAATTTAGTGTAAACCAATCATTTGGCCTTCAGCATATATATGCTTCAACATATCAATATCTGAAACCATTTACTGTTGCTGTTTCAGAAATACATGGCTGTAGTTCCGGTATGCCACAAAATGAATTATAAAAACCAAAATCTTTCATTGCTGAAAGTAATAAGGCAGAGTGAGAGATGCTTCATGTGCAATGCCAGTCAAGAGGTTTCTTGGTGCTTTTCTTCAAGTTCAAGTAATACTAGCGGGAGACAACAAGTCTTATATGATGCCACCAACAGACTCAGAACAAACACAAGAAAGGGTAGAGATGCTTTTCGAGGAAGGATTGATACCAAAGTGTCTATGCCTTGCCATATAACTAAAGAAAAATATGTCCTATCCACAATGCACCAAGTTGTTAGGCATCTGACATCCAGGCCCATTAATGCTCCACAAAGGGAAAATTTGTGCATAGTTTGTCATGCGTTGGGATCTGATTCTAATGAGAAGCACCTGAGATCATTGGATTCTTATTTTGGGAAACTTCAGAACAATGCTAATCAGCCTTCTTCATATTCATTGAACCAGGAATCAAAGAAATCAGAGTTACCCAATACAAGTGGTCAATTCAGAGCCAGAAAAGGACTGGGAGCTCTAGACGATTATCTTGGTAAACTGAATGAAGGTAACTCATTTGTTATCAGGATAAAGGTAGCTATCAATGATCACTTTATATTGCGTTTGTTTTCCATCTTCTTGTCGGTATGAGAGTCTCTTAGATTTGTTGCCTAAAATAGAACTTGTTCTACTCACACAGGCCTGAATGAAGTCCAATATAGAGAGAATTGTGCAAAATTCATTATATCCCAGTAGCTTATAAAGCAATAAAGGCCAATTTTTTTAAGTGATTCACTAATTATTATGTTGCTAGCTTATCAGTACTTGATGTTCAAAAAATCGAGTGTATCTGATTTTCTACATATGTGGCCTGGCCATTAGGTTGGTTCTCCCTATCCTTTTCTTGAATTATTTCTAGATATCTCCCAGAGTATTCATTTATTGTCATCATCATGTTCTTAATCATTTATGATGGCCAATTGTATGCTCCACAAAAGATGGCTCTTGCTTCTGCCGGGCAAATTTTTTTTGGCTTGACTGTAATGTATTCGGTCTCATAGCCCCCAGAAAGCACATCTTAACTTGGAATTCTGTCTTCAAAGTCTTTGTTCTGGTATGCAATGTGCTTATCAACCTATGTCCTTTTCCAAACCCAAACATCACTGGAACTCAGATTGTCCTCAAATAGTATTCGTCCACAAATCTACTTCTAATATGCCCTTCCCCTTTTGTTAACACAATCGAGTCACACAGTACCCAACAGCATCATGAAGTGCGAAAATTTTACTTTTCTCCATACCTCCAAATGATGATACATATGCAAGTTTCGTTTTTTCAGTGAATTAGTATGTTTTTAGGAGTTGTACAAGTGTGATATTTGTGTATCTCTGAGGTACTGCAAATGATGAAGGACTAATGGTGCCATTAACTATCTTATCATGATGAATCCAACTAAAAGCTTAAAGCATCTTCAGCTTGAAGACTCCTCAAATCTTTGATGGCACTTACTAAACATCATTTTTAGTGTGTAGTTAATATACTTTTTCAGTATTTGCCCCAATGTCCTGGATAAACAATTGGTATTTTCTAATACCCATTTCTTTCATTCAGATGCAAAGTCAAAAAATTATGTGCCATCTGCTTCTGATGATGAAACGACTAATGCTGCACCATATCCTATCAAGGGAAATTCTGGAAGAGGCAGAGTAAAGAAACTGAAAAACTATATGGAGTTGAAAAATAATGATGGTGAGAGTGGTCCAAAGAGTTCAGAAGATGAAACGTCCAATCTTTATTTAATGTAAAATGTTCATCCATCTGTATGGATTTTATGCTTGGACGTTACTTCATTTCTCCTGTATTTATCTCCATTATTAGATTTACTTAGACCGTTTCTGACACTTCTGTTCTATTTTGGGGTGCAGAAGTATTTTGGCTTCTATAAACATTGCAGTTTTTCTGTTTGAAATAGCAAGTCCAATTGGGAGCTCTGATCTAGAGCTCTTTTCAGTCCCATTAGTTTATGGTGCAAAGATAAATCATCTGATCCTCATTGGAGAATGGTGGAGGCTAGTGACACCAATGTTTCTGGTACAAGGTTGATGATTGGGTTCGTGTTTCCATTCTATTATTGTTTAAGCATTTCTTTCGTTTGATCAATTGGGAGAATTGTAGCTATGAAAAAATGGCCCTAGAAATGGATTATTTAAATTTTATTTCCATTGCTTTCTCAAACATGAATTTATCCTTTCTATAAGTTAATTCAGACTTACATAGATGTCATTCCAAAAATTATAGGTAGTGACTGCAAAAATTATCAATGAGACTTACTGAAATCCTTAAAATGATCTCATGCAAAATATAGGATAAATTTGGGCAACTGCATTGGATGATTAGAGAAAATCATGTTCGATGTCATACCAGAAAATGGGACGTTTTTAGTTCCATTAAATGTGCAATAGCTCCTCATTCAAGTATATTTTTGATTTTAAAAATGAAACTTTGGTATTTGCAGCACTCAGGAATCCTTCATGTGGCTTTTGGTTGTTGGGTGCTTCTTACTTTTGGACCTCAAGTTTGTAGAGCATATGGTTCGCTTACCTTTTTCTTGATATACATACTTGGAGGAATTTCTGGCAACTTAACAAGCTTTCTCCACACCCCAGACCCAACTGTTGGTGGGACGGTAAGCAGAATTGCACCCATTTTCCACCATTTTTCCTATTTCTTTTTGGTTTTCATCCAGTAAATTCTGCTTCATGTCAGATTGAATAATTCATCACATATCGATGTCAATAGTCAGGGACTTTTCATACTTAAACAGCACACATTGCCCTCATTGTTCTATCAGTAGGCTTTGAGCTGTATGTATTTGTTATTTCGGCAGTCAAAATTTGCCATGAGTTAATAGATCCGTAACTTCTTCTGGCCTGACATAGTCAAACAGTTTGAAAAGAAGATATCTTGCTGTTCCTGTTATATAGTCAAACACGGAATCATTTTGTGTATGAATATTGGATTGAATATTCCTTTCTTTGCAGTCATAGCAATAATCTTTCAAATACCTGGAAACATTATTGAAGAACTTGTGGAGTATTTTACTCTGAGTCTCTGTTACTTAAGTTGTAACTCCCTGCCAAAAGTACAAAATACATGCATGCTTTCTAATAGTTGGACCTGTAACAACACATGCCTCTCTTCTTATCAAAGAAAATTTACAGAATGGAATGCAACTTGCCCCTAGGATTTCAAGTAAAAAACTTTCTTTTGTACCAAATATTAAGGCATAACCTAATAAAGCCCGTCTGTCAACCATGAAATTCTATGTCCCAGTGATTGCAGCATGACCATTTTTTATCATTGGGTTTGACCAGTTGTTCAAGCAAGCAGCAAAGTTGCTTGAGAAAGAAGAAGAATTCACTGCACCTCAAACCTATTTCTGTTGCATCTAAAGTTGAATAATTAGTTAATAGGATGTAAGGAACTGAACTTCTGCATACTGATGCATGAATATAAATATGAGGAACATCATTGTTGCTGTTAGTTGTAAGGCTAGCTTTTTACTCTACACTGGTGTTTCCGCTGCCGCTGCTAGCTGTGATTGGCATTTCCGAGGGCCCAGGGTGGTTTGGGCAATCCCCCCACCCAGGAGTTTCATTGTGAGGTCCAGATACTTCCTATTCCGGATGTCCCTTTTGTCCTTTCTAGAAAATGCAAAAACCAAACTTCTTTGGGCTGAGATGGCTTTCCGATCTTTGGAATCAAGGGAGGACTTTGGATACTGCAATCGAACTGAGAAAAAATAATCAGTTCTATGTGAAAGAGTACTGTTCAAAAAAAAGTGAAAAAAGTACTTTGCATAAGGTCTTGTTCTTTGGGCACTAGATTGGCGACGGCATGAGGTGGTTGGATCAATAAAAAGTGTGTGCAAGGCATGTTGGATTGGGAGACGCCATGAGTTTTCAGGGTAACAGCCTTGAAAAGACAGTCATATTTTAAACTATAGCCTACACTGATTTTTCTTGTTCACGATTTACAATACAACTCAACTCATTGAGTGAAACTGCAGGCTCCGATTACCCTCTGCTACAAACACTAGTAGCCACATGGATTTTGCCTTTTTTATTTTTGATGTTTGAATATATCTTCACAGAGATAAAGTCTTTAGAAACATATCTTTCCCATATATTTTTTGAGGTCACCATATTCGTCACAAGGATTTGTGGGCAGCAGTCTTCTTAATGCAACTATAGAATATTTTTCTCAGTGTGCGATCAGACATCTTCATTTATAGTTGATTAACCAAATCCTTACACGTTCAGGGACCAGTATTTGCCATAATTGGAGCTTGGCTTATTTATCAGATTCAAAACAGTGATATTACTGGAAAGGATATGCCTGAAAGCATGTTTCAGAAGGCAATTATTGCTACTGCTCTCAGCTGCATATTAAGCAATTTTGGCCCGATTGATGACTGGTTAGTTTCTAGAACTCAAAACATTTTCCAATTTGTTTACACAGAACTGAAAGCATATAGGAATGATCTCATAAGCAGGATAATTCATTTACTGATGCAAAAACAGAAATGAATTGCTACCAAATGCAAGGGAGAATAACCACTTCTCTAGTTTTCATGTGTTCACTGATTGTTTTGTGCAGGACGCATTATGGTGCAGCTTTTATGGGTATAGTGTATGGCTTTTTCACTTGTCCAACGCTGCAAATGGATGATGCATCCTCAAAAACTGGCCAGGAAGAACAAATAACACTCGTTAGACGACATGTTAATCCTTGTAAATCACTTTTTTTCTTCTCCCTCTTCATTTTGGTCCTAAGTTCTTTACTTTTCATTATTGAACCTCCGCCAAACTCACTGGCCATAGAGAATTTTATATAGATATTGAGAGATTTAGTAGTGCATACAGAGTGACCCCAAAAGTTGAAAAAACAAGCAGATGTGTATAAGTATGTGCAAATACAGAACAATGTCCTTGTGATAAATTCAATCTCTTGCATTGGTATCATATTTTACTTGATTCCCCATCAACTTAAGGTGCATTGAGGATGATAATTTTAATATTTTGTTTAACAATGTTGTCCGGGAACTTAAGTCATAGGGACTAGGAGCTTAGATGCGTAATTTCTTTGTATTACGTTATCAATTGAATTATACTTTGCCAATTGAATTTTTAGCTAGAATTCTCGTCCAAAATGAATGATGATCTTTGCAAAAGAAGTGGGAATTTGGTTTATGGATGTTTTGTGCATGGTATCATTAATCTGTTTGATCTTTCCTTTACGTTTTGAAATTTGGGCATGGCCTATCTGTAAATTTGTGTCTATCTGTAGAGGATTGTGGTTCTCAGAATACTGTTCTCTGGTTTATGAGGATTAATTTGATTAGTTTATCAAAAATGACGAGTATGCAATCCTGCTTCCCCCGGGGAACATCAACCACCATTGTTACCACCACCACCACCACTTCCACCACTTACCACCACCATCAAACCTCCTATTCGTCACTTCCATAAAAAATACAGCACCTATCACCACTGCCAAAATCTATGACCAGCAAGAGAACCACTGAACTATCCACAGATTCATTCTCTCTCTCTCTCTCTCTCTCTCTCTCTCTGTGTGTTTTAGTTTTTCTCTCTAATCTTTGTTTTATCTTAGAGACGTTTAATTACCCAAATAACAAATATTCTAATGAATATTTCTTATAACATTAATTTATCTCTATTTTTTCCCCAAACAATGCCACATGTACCTTATTTGTTGATCTTATTATTTTTTGTCATTAAATTGACAATATGCCCTACTATTAGATAGACTTATTATCAATTTAATGGTTATGATTCATCATGTTAACAAATAAGATTACTAAATTAAGTATAAATATTATTTATCTTTTCTCCTAGTCTAAAAAAATGTTATTGTAGGTCGTACTGTTAATGTGATTCTTCTTTTTTCAGCCTCTATCGGTGCACAAGGGGGGTTTGATGATGAATGCTGGCATGGCATGGGACGTAGGTGATGAGAAGATATGGTTTACTGTCTCTAAAGATTAAAAAGGCCATGAGAGGTACCGTGTCTGATCCATGAATCTCCGATCGGAATGTAACAGAGGAGTGGAGTCATTCTCTTCATCCTAAAATTTTGTTTTGATTCAAATCCTTCCTCAACATGGTGTCTTAAAAGTTTTAAAGAGTTTTCAAAAGATTTTTTTGTAGAATTTTTTGAAATCAATGATTGGACCATGCAAACTAATCCTTAATTTCGATTTTGTTTACATTTCTAGATTACTTGTTGTAAATTGAGAGAGCGATAATATTTTCACAAATTTTGTAATTAATTATTTGTTAAGGAAATGTAAGGTGATAAGGTCCAACCGGACACTTCGTGATTGACTTGTAATGATTGGTGTGCAGTAGACTTATCCGTGATACCATTGTTGACAAGAACTCAACTTCATGAGAAAAATTTGTATGAAAACGTTATGTGTATATTTAATGAGAAATTATCATAAAAATAATTTATGGAAAATACAAGTTAAATTTTTTTAAAAAAAAATTTATAAAGTGATAGATGATAATTATTCATTGGGCATATATAATTTTTTATTAGTGATATACGCCACATGTGGTGACACTGCCATATATGACAAGTTAAACCAATGAAAAATAAATTTATCTTCCAATTTGATGGTTTAATGCGCAGTTTCTTGAACAATACCGAAAAAATGGCTGTGAAGAAAGAGACAAATAAAAACAGAGAGCAACCTAGAGACTTGAGTAATTGTGCGTCAGTATTGAAGTTTTATTTTGACTAATGAACCTATGGTGACATTTCAATATACAAGCCTCGAGAAAAGCACCGGTAAGAGCAACTCTAACAATTTCAACGAAGGATACTTTTTAGTTATTTTATTGAGTCAATTTAAAAAATTTGGCTCCAATCAATTCAATAAATTATTTGCTAATCTGCCTCTCTATTCTCTCTCATCATCGGTTGTTGCTTGCAGAATTTTTTCTCTTCACAATTCTAATTAATAAATTAGAGAGCGTGATTGAAGTATATTTTAAAAAATAATTAGTTAAAGTAATAAATTTAATAATTAAATATATTTTAATTAATTATTTTGTTACAAGATATACTTTAGAACACTTAAATTGCCTTAAATTGAAAGTCTAGAAAAAGCACTTAATTGCCCTCAAATAAACACCTGTATAGTTAAGCCCTCTCCAGGCGACCACGTATACCAAAACCTTTCGCCAGCTTCAAAAACTCTTCCTCTCTCCGTCTCTCATTCTCTCTCTCTCACATACTCGCACTAGCTTCGTTTGTAGCTAGAGCTTTGATAATGGCGGTGGGAAGGTGTGGTAAAAGCCCAATGGAGCTTCTCTTAACCGTCAACTTTGTTGTGTATCTGATTGTGCTAGGACTAGCTGGATGGTCTGTCGACAAATACATCAATGGCGAACAGAATCACCCTCGTAAGCTCTCTCTCTCTCTCCCTCTCTCTTTCTCACACACACAACTGAGGATTTGGCACTGTAAATCTGTAAGTTTGCTTTGTATGCTGGGGCTAATCCTCTGTGCCTTCTCCGTAACTTATGCTCCCTCTCGTGAGCACCTTGCTCAACATGGTTTTGTTTTTGAACAGTCGTAGCTCCACGTGTTAAGCCGTTCGAATTGCTTCTTCTTGCTATTCTCTGAATCCCATCAAAATTTCATCCATTCCTCTAATAGTTTGATCTAAATTTAATGGCGTTAACAGCAATGATGATTTACAGAAATATTATAGGCTAAATCTTATCTATAACGCTTGAAACTAGACTTAACTTTAACACTACCCTATAAACAGACTTAACTTAACTTTAGTAACGCTCCTCGAATATGTAATTTCATGTACCTTTTTTAGTTCTATTATACGAACTTTAGGTCGATTAATTTAATATTTAATTTTATCAAATTAATGTCTTTTATTTTATATAAACTAAATTAACATTCTATTTTATCAAATCAACACATATTAAATTAATTTCTTTTATTTAATTTAAACTAAATTAAAAAATTTTCTCATCAAATCAACGCAAAATTAATATTTAATTTTATCAAATTAGCATTTAGTTATATTAATTTAATATTTCATTTAATCAAATTTAATATTATTTCTTTAATTTAACATTAAATTACTATTTAATTTCATCAAATCAACACCAAATTAACATTCAATTTTATTAAATTAAAATTTAATATATTAAATAAAATATTAAATTTCATTAATTTAACATTTAACCTTATCAAATTAATGTTATTTTTTTAATTTAACACCAAATGAAGATTTAATTTCATTATTATTATTATTTTTTTTTTCAATTTTTATTTTTTTGGGGAAGGGGACTTGAACTCTTGACTTCAAGAAGACAAAACCTTTATAAAACAATGAGTATCATTAGACCAAAGACTCTCGGTATTTAATTTCATTAAAGTTACATTCAAATTTATTCAATTAACATTAAATTTTATCAAATCAACACTATATTAATATTTAATTTTATCAAATTAATACTAAATTAATATTTAAATTTATCAAATTAAGATCAAATTTATTCAATTAATATTAAATTTTATCAAATAATATTTAAATTTTTTATATGAAGGGTGACGTGTGATTTTATTTTTTAACTATAAAAACTTATAAAAACTTGATTATGTAATCAAATGAGTGATAACATGATAACTAATATTATAACAAAGTTATCATGCAACGCTTTAAAATGATAAAGGTTTATTAAGATAATGTAATGATAGAAATCACGCTTGCTGGTTGGTTAGGACATATATAATGGGGGAAAGATTGAGGGCATGTGTCTATTTACATAATAAATGGTAATTTTGGTATTTTTACAAAATATTTAGTCAAATCATTACTTTATTTACTCACAGAGACAAAAGTTACTGTTAAGAGGTATCACCGATTTGAATGTATATACCAGAATGGGGTGTAGTGAAGTTTCAGAATCGGGAGGGAGTGTCATTGAATTTAAATCTAACTACAGGTTGTGTGGATGAAATTTTTCCAAAATTTTATTATTTAGTTAAAAATCTGACATAATTTTTCATATAGCACGACTCTCTCTTCAGTCTCTCTTCAAATAAAGATATAATCTTATAGTGTGATACATCTTATATATTAATTAAAATTGGACTTAAAATTTGATAGCATTATAGTTTTAATTTACCAATGAGTTGTTACCCCCATTACACAATAGTCCTGGTCCACAGTCAGCTCTTGTGTATTGGTCTGCTGTCTGTCTCACCTGCCTACTTTTTGGTATCATCACTTAGTTTCTGTCCAATTTATTGTACTCAGTTATTTTATTGTGGTCGTGTTAAAGTATGTCACTAATAAGTAATACCGCTCTCTCTCTCTCTCTCTAGATTTGGGAGGAAATGCAGCCACGAGCTTCATGCTAATATTTGCATTGATTGGGGGTGTGATTGGTGCATGCTCAGTGTTAGCTGGGTTCATACATTTGCAAGCATGGCGCAGTAATAGTTTGGCTAATGCAGCTTCTACTGCAATCATCTCTTGGGCCATAACAGCTCTTGCCTTTGGGTATGCACTTTTTCATTCTTCTTTATTGTTCCAACTACATGGGCTACACAATCAAAGGGTAAAGCTTCCCCTGCTGATAACCGACAATTTTGCATCGAGTGGATGTTCCAATTTCATTCGATTGATTACTCATGAAATTCAAATAGTACTTTACAAAGAAGTATTTAGTTAGAGTAATTCATATTATTTAATAAGCATTGGGTGGAAGTTCACCAAAAAAAATAAACACTTCAACAAAAAACATATAAAAAATGTGTTTTGCATAGTTGACAAAAGCACAATTGTTTGTCTCACAATTAGTAACATGTCCGTGAATTCATACACCCACACACGCATATATGTGACGATGACGATGATGGTGGTAGAGTGGTGATAGCGATAATGGCATTGATGGCAAAGTTTGTGGTGTTGAGTGGTGGCAACCACGGTGGAATCAGCTGATCGTATCGTTCAATACCGCACCGTGATCGATATCTATTAGTGCCCTTTGAGTCAATGATCAATACTGCGAGTCTACGACTTTGAATCATGGTTTGGGCCCCACTAACTTAGAAGGAAAATCTTATGTCATGTTATCTATTACAAAATACAAAACTATGATCCATTTGTTGCATTTTCCACTATAATTTTTAAAAAATTTTGTGCAACAATCAGAATCTGTTTTGTTTTTAATAAGTTAGTGGTTCACGCCCCTTAATCTACTAAAGCAAATATTTTGTTTTCGGACCGGGTATATTATTTAGTACACTCTCTTATTTCTCCAAAAATAATTTTATAGTTATCCTTAACTCTTTTTGGTGAGTTAAAAGCTTGTAACCCAGTAACCCACAAACTGATGTAAATGATAAAATATACTAATTCAAAAGTACTTATGCTCATCCGAAAAATCAATTTCTCAAAAAGATTAAAAGAAAATTGCTAAGAAATTTAGGATTTTTTTGTCACACTTAGAAATTAAAGATACAACTGATCAACTAGATATGGTTCTTGGGATTTGTAACAACATTGTTGTATTCTACTTTAATATATAATTGAAGTGATATTAGTTGTCTTTGTTTTTTTGTGTTTGCTAATGCTAACTTGATACAGGTTCCCAATTTTCACATTGTAGATAAGTTTTGGAGTTTAGAATTAAGTTATCTGAAAATAACACCTAATTTAGTTCTTTAGCCCTATGGGGAATTTTTTTCATGGATATTTTTGTTCCTTCTAAGATACACTCCTGACTGCGCCCTTAGTCAATTGTAGTGGTTATAAATGTAAATTTGAGAGATGTGTCATGTGGACTTATTTAAATTGTAACACCACTATATACTTATTTGGAAGTAATTTGGGTAAGTTGTTCCACATATAGCTTTTATTTTGGGGTTGAAATTACTGAAAAGAGATTATAAGTTCTAAAAATACTTTTGTAAAATTATCTCAAACACCGCCTTAATCTTATCCACAACCTACCAAAGAAACATTAAATCCTATCATATTTACCATATTTATCTTCAGATAAGTAAGTCATACTTTTGGTAATTTATTCCTAAGAAGTCCTAAACTCCGTTGATGGTATACTTTGTTTCAATCTTATCCTTTCCATGAATACTCCAATTACATTTTTACCTATTACTTTTTGCTAGTAATGTCCCAAAATAAATTATTTTTATTCTAATTAGTGCATAACATCCA